GGGTACTCTATCCAAGCTGAGTTTAGCAGAGTCTAACTGAGTCTTTGTCTCCCTGAGCCCTAACCTTGTTCTTTTTGTCCTATCGGCAGGATGTCATCCTGCAAACTGGATGTTTTGGCCTTCTCCCCCTGGAAGAATCGTTTGAGCTGCACACTGAGAAGGGGATGCAAACTGGATGTTTGGACCTTCTCCCCCTGAAAGGATTGTTTGAGCTTTACACAGAGCAGGGGATAAATCTCCACACAAACCGTTCAAGTACTTTAGGAAATTTAAGTGGCAGTCCGCTCCATCGCTCCTCAGGAACCAACCAAACCCGAGTAAACCCTGTCCGCCCTCCAAAGAGTCAACCAAGTTCTGGAATAACCCACACCGACTGGATTCTGGGAAGGACACCTTTTCCCTGGAAACATGAGTCCCGTTTCAGTCTCTGTTTTTTGAAAGTCATCGCTCAAGTTTCCCACAGAGCCTGAACTAAACACTGAACTTTCCTTCTCACATCCAGTTCCGGTTCACCAATGTTCTGAGTAACACTGGATCCAACTCATCGTGCTTTCAATAAACCTGTTAAACCTTTTCTCTAGTTCTCTGAGTGGTTTCCTTCATGTGGGTCAGATCCCCATAAAAAGAACATGACACATAGAAAGATTCCATTGTTGTGTTTCTATATTTTCATCAATGCATCAGTCTTCATCCGGTGTCCAAGTGCCAAAGAACTTATATTTTATTCATGTCAATAAACTCTTCTAAATACAACTTCTCTCTCTGTGAGTCCCTCTAGGTTGAATTGACCAGACCAGAGTCTCATCGACTCAACGGGTATGGATGGATGTTCACAAAATGCTTGGAAAAAGGAATAAAGGTCAGAGAAGAAGATGTCTGCTTAATATTAAAATAACTTGATCCAAGAGGTGTAGATTTTAGGAGAGCCAGACATCTTCATCGCTGCTTTTATCTTCCAAAGGGGCCAAATTACATCTGGCATTGAGACTCCTATGGCAAACTTAATGGCTGCTTTGATTGATTTTCAAGGTAAATCGCATGGATGAAGGCATTTATCACCAGCAGGGATCCAAATCTTGTTGAAGGTTTCTTCATGGAGGCAGCTGGGAGAACAGGGCATCGAAAATGTGAGATTTAGAGATTTTCAAAGTTTTTTGTGACGAAATACAGACCATGACTATGACATTGACAGCTATATTTAATAGGCATTTTAGATAATTGATAGCTGTTGGTGGTTCCTCAGGAAGGAATCAATGGAGCTCTACATTTCCCTCTTGGTTGATCTTAGGGATCTTGGCTTTTTCGCCGATGATTACGTCCTGCTTCATGCATATCATACAGGTAAGAGTCTTAAAGCAATCCTTGCAACACCGCAATATATAACAACAACACAGTGTTATATTGTAAAATGTATATTTGCTTGCACACTAAATTGGAATTCCATTTTTATAAAAATGTGCACAATTTAAGGAAATTTTGCAATTAGCAAGGCCTTATGTTTATTTGTTGTTAAAGTCATTAACCATGAAGACTGCAAACATTGTCAAAAGGAAAGCAAAGTCATTATTTGTTCAACAATCCACTGACAAATGCTGGGAGAAACAACTTAAAGAAAACTTATATAAGAGACTGGCAAAGACATGACAGTATGTGGTCAATTGAGAAGAAAGTTATGCCTAATGAAAGCATAACTACACCTGAATTATTGGAGAAAGAAACCAACTAATAAGTTATAGATGGTTAGTAAAAAACAAATAAAGAGTTGATCCAACTTTTAAAAAATCATTAATTACTCACAAGTACTCAAAATAAGTTTATCCGAGTAGATTTCTTAATTCAATTCAGCCGGTGTGTTATAACACTAAAATAAATTATGTTTTGGAAAACTTGAATTACATTTAAACAAATTAACTTGTTCTATGTTTTCAGTGCACAAATACAGGTTTTCTATGATTTACTAAATCTGTGTTTTTAACCAAGCTTTTGCTTTGGGGATGGTCAAAATGAAACAGGAACCCTGAAAATTTGGGATCTTTTCAAGTTTGCGTGGCTTTAAGTAATACTGCTACAATTTCAAAATACTGAACATGAAGTCTTCATCAGGTGTCCAAGCGCCAAAGAACTTTTACTTTATTAATGTCAATAAACTTTTCTAAATACAACTTCTCTCTCTGTGAGGCTGTCTGGGTTGAATTAACCACACCAGAGTCTGGATGGATGTTCACAAAATGCTTAGAAAAAGGAATAAAGGTCAGAGAAGAAGATGTCCTTTTAATATTAATATTACTATTGATTATAAATTGGGTTCTTGAAGAAGATCCTTGTGGGCTATTGCTTAGAGGGAAGTTTGAGCCCATTTTTGAAAACAGGTCATCAAACAGGTCTTCCTCAGAATCTTCATCCATCTTGAGCTTTGTCCACTGCCACTTGCTTATATGCTGAAACCCCACTATCAGCAGGTCTTTGTCTGCTGAATCCACACCTTGAAAGTAGGAAAGGATGAATGCTAGAGACAGTTGGATTGTTACGATGCTGTGGCGCATATCCTTTCATCCAAACTCTTGCAACAGCTTACCAATGCTTTCAGTAAAGTCTGCCGAAGCCTAAGCAGCGTGAATTATATTAGAAACTATTTTGAAACAAGAACAGCTCTGAATCTGTTCTTGTGTTATAAAAGTTTACTGTTAACTACAGTCATTAAATTAGTCTCATGTATACATATCTCTCTTATGCAGTAATAAGCTTTGCATCATTTGGTGATTATGTGTGTAGGCAAAGCTGTATACAATAAGAAAAGACTGCATGGCTGTGCTCTATGTGTGAGATAGCAATCTCACTATGCTGCTATTTTATATTGAAGAGTGACAATACATAAATCAGATCTGGTTTCAACGTGTTTCTTTGTGATTATATAACAACCCAGAGCAGATGTAGATTTGTTCTGATCTTGGTCTCATACAGTCGGCCTACGGTGCTATCAAATGGAATAATCTCCTGAATAAAATCATGCATATCAATGAAAAAATACCCCAATGAACCTTTGGGAGAGTGTCTATTAGGAAAGAACATTTTTTTTTTGCAGTTTACCTCATTTCCCCTGTTGTAATATCTTTCAGTCAGGTGTCTTATGGCAGCCCATTTTGACATTTATTAGCTTGACTGAACATGTAAACCAGATTGTTCTGTCTTGTTTGAACCTTGTTAGAATTACCAGCACAAGGCTGGTGCCGTCACTTTCAGGAAATAAGCTCTTTTCAGTCAGTTTTTGTCTTACTGGCTGCGTGACAGTCCACCTCATTAATGGGATTTGGGAAGTCTCATTCCTTTGATGACAAAATGCTTTTAATGCAAGTCTGTCTCCAAATTTCTCAACGTATTGTTTCAGCTCCCTATCAATCATTACATGAATGACATTAACATAATTTTAAAAGATCAATCTAGAAGTAAAAAAACAAAGAAATTAGAAACATAAAACATATTCCTTAAAAATTAACAATCTAATTGAAGAGGCAAAGTTTGAAGCAGGGTCCCGTGCTATTTCTAGTTTGCATAATGCAGTGAAAAATGTAGAACATATAATTTGACAGAAAAAAAATAGCAGATTAATCCTATCAAAAAAAAAGTATTTAAATCTGTCTTCTTTTAGTTTTTGGATAATATTTTTAAGAACATTTCGTGATAAAAAAAAGAAGCAGAACAAATCTTCTTCCACAGCCATCTTTGACACCAAGGGAAAAAAAACAAAAAGGTTTGCCTCTTATAGTATCTTGTGCAATAGTATCTTGTTTTATTTTTTTAATAGTTTTTTCTAATGTACCTTTAATTCAATTCTATTCAGTTTATTTATATAGTGCCAATTCACTATACATGTCATCTCAAGGCACTTTACAGTTGACCAGATCATACAGTCAAATTGGTTCAAAGTTTTTTATCCAAGGAAAACCAGTTGATAGCATTAACTCATTGACTCAAAGGCAATCCCTCACACAAAGCATGCTTGTAGCGACAGTGGAGAGGAAAAACTCCCTTTTAACAGGAAGAAACCTCCAGCAGAACCAGGCTCAGTGTGAGCGGCCATCTGCCGAGGCCGACTGGGGTTAAAGGAGACAGAAGCAGAGATACAAAGAGCAACTGTAAAAGGCTGCCTTGTCCAGGAAACACACAGCCAGGCAGACGAGCTCCAAGATAGTTCCCACGTCAGAGACGAAGATTGCACATCCAACCAGACACAGTCAGAGAAACAGGACTACACTGAAAAACAAGCAGATCTCCAACATCTATAAACAAAGGTGTTGATGGCAGCAGCACAGCTGATATTTCTCTCAAGGATGGAGTCACAACCAAACAGGAACAGACGAGGGAAAGCTACTATGAGAAAAAGAAGAGAGAGGTTGAACTAACAGATTCTGCAGAATAGGAGAATAGAGAGAGAATGAAGAAGAATGATGAAAAAGGGTTCTCTATGTCCTCCAGCAGTCTAAGCCTATAGCAGCATAACTATAGAGATAGCTCAGGATAACCTGAGCCACTCTAACTATAAGCTTTATCAAAAACAAAAGTTTTAAGCCTAGCCTTAAAGTAGACGGGGTGTCTGCCTCACGGACTAAAACTGAAAGTTGGTTCCACAGGAGAGGAGCCTCTCATTCTACTTTTAGAAATTCTAGGAACCACTAGTAAACCTGCAGATTGAGAGTGAAGTGCTCTGTTAGGAACATAAGGAACAATCATATCTCTGATATAAAATGGAGCATTTAAGGCTTTATATGTAAGAAGGAGAGTTTAAAATTCTTTAAGGCTGGAAACATATTTTAATTCTTTTTTTTGGCTATTTATCTGTTATTCTGTGTTTTAGTTTTTCAGTTTGTTTGATTATCAGGATTTATTTTGACATTTTATTACTTTCAAGCGAACTACGTAGATATAGGCTAAGACAACCTTGAACTTCATTTCCCAGGGTGCACCGCGGAAACCCTCTTCGCTTCCCATTGGTCAGTGTCCCTAACCGGCGGAGGCAGGACTAGAGGCAGCGCTGGCAGCCCGGCGGAGAGCTGCGGAGCTGAAATGAAGCGCAAACACGGAGCGGCTCACACCGTCCACAGCCGCGCGGCTCAGGAAGAGGCTCCACTCCGCTCCAGCTCCACCCCGCCGCGGCTGAATGAAGGGCTCCGTCCATGCGGAGGCTAGCGCTCTTCCTGCTGCCCTGTGCTGTCGCCGTCCTGGTGCACTTGTGGTTGGCACAGCGACCCTCCTTCGCCTTCTTCTGCGAGCCGCTGGACAACAGCACTCACTCGGGTACTTTTAATTCTCCGCCTCCCTCCGCGGCTCTACCTCTCCGGAACTTTTCCCGCATGGTAGCAGCTGCTAACTTTGCCTCTTACCGCCTGGATGTGGCGATAAATCTCTGGGAGCAGATAGTTCATCTCTAGCTGGGTGTTATTATGTGTATTTTAGTTGTAAATAATGTCAATATTTTATTTCAGTAGTTTTGGGCGTTGCTGGAATAATCTGGGAGATTAGGATTCAGTCTTTCATCTATATAAACAGTTGCTCTGGATTATTTCTAATCTGTTTATTTTATTTTATTATTGCAGAGGTGTGTGGAAGCTGCTTTAAAGTGTAAATTTCACTGCTCCTAATGTACGATGGATGCACTTTTTTCTAATATTTTGATTTTTTTTCCTATCTTTTTTGTTTTATTATCAGGAGAAAAAAAACATTACTCTAAATCTTTTCGCTTTTCACATATTTATTTATTTATTTTTCCGTCTTATAGAAAAATAGAAGGGCGGGGGTCTGTCCTGTGTCAAAGCTTTATAGACATTTTAAATATTAATCACATTTATTTGCTCTCCATAATAATGAGGTGCAAAGGCTTTTACAGTTTTTCCATGTTAGACATTTTAATGGCATATATATTAGTATTTATAACAGTAAATATATGTTTTAATCCAGCTGGCTTCCTATATAATTATGTTTTAGTTATTATTACCTAGTAACCCAGCTCATTTAAGTCTTTTTTTATTCACTAGATCAATAAAAATACAAGCATTCATTTTAAGTTTGTGCATAACAGTAAAAAAAAAAAAAAAATATATATATATATATATTTTTTTTCTTGTAAATATGGATGTATGATCTGTTTTTTCCTACAAAAGAGGATGACATGCTTGGATTGGTGCAAAAAGGCTTGGTATCGACCTGGAGGCTTTGTGTTCATCAGAGTGATGAAACTGTCTCTTTGGGGACGGCGCTCTATAGCATCTTTGAATTAAAGACTTTATTTTAATCTTATAAATAAAATGAAAATATTGAAAACAAGTGATGTTGTTCATTTTCCACCTGGCAGAGAAATTGATTGTCTAACTGAATTTTGTTAAAAGTAAATCCGTTTTAAAGTTTTGAACTGATTAAAAAAATTGTTTTTTTTTTTTGTTATTGCAGATGAACCGTTGCCTTTCTGGGATGTTTTGGTGGGAGTCCTGTCAGCGCGGCATCATCATGACCTTCGACAAGCGATAAGAGAAACATGGCTGGGATACATTAGAGATCACCCACACTTTAAGCGCAGGTTTGTAAACTGATGCCTTAACTTCATCGCGCTCTCTTTACTTTCCCATCTGAACTCGTGTAGAAGGGAAAAAATAGCCTGCAGCTGGCAGCGGATCCCAGGCTCTGGCATCCATCCTTTTATCTCTACCTCACCACTGGGCAATATTGTTCTCTTTCATTTTTTTTTTCCTCCACCTCTCTTTCACGATCCGGGCCCCGATAAGGTGTGATGGCCTTTAAGCAACCCTTAGTAACCATGGTAACAGAGGGTGGAGAGATGGACAGGCTTTTGAGATGTTTTAGCTGCATGTTGCACTAAACAAAAGATTAACGCTGCTTTATTTCCTTCTCTTTTTCTCAGAGTGGCGGTGAAGTTTATCGTGGGTCGACACGGATGCCCCATTCCGGACGAGGACAGGGAGGATCCTTACTCTTGTTCCCTCCTGAACTTCAGCGAGCCAGGTAAGATGAAAAGGTCGGATTTTGCGGACTGCAATGTCGAGAGACGCCCTCTGCAATGTGCTGCAGCTGTCAGAGGCGGCTTTGAGGCAAAACAACAGCAGCGGATTTGATACAATGAAAAGAATGAGTTTTCAGCATAAAAAAAAAAAAGCTTTATTCATGCTCACCCACAGCTCAAGGACAACTTTCTTTTGCCTTTCTGTATCCAAGGCTTTTGTGCAAATGACTGACTGACTGGGTCTGCTGCTGGTAAAACAAGAAACAGCTTACTAACATGAAAAGTGGAGCTTATGTGATGCAACTAAGCATTGCATGAAGCATAAATGAACCCAGCGTTGCCCCTCTTCCCCTCATCTATGGGCAGAGCTGGTTATTTTCTTCTTTGCAAATTAGACCAAAATTTAGCATGCAAAAATATGTATTTTAACTAAAAATGATTATGAATATAATAATGAATATGGTTGAGTATTTTGGCTACAATAGAAATAATTCTTGCTACTTTCTGTTAGTCAATGTTATTGTGTCATAAAAATGCCTTATATTCAGTGTTGGGAGTTATTGAGTTGTCGATTCATTGTTGATTATTAACCATATGTTATGTCCAATCTAGTGCAGCGGTTTACTAGGCCTTGATCAGTTAAAGGAACTTTTCATAAGCTCACTGTCTCTGCTGCAGAACTGCACTGCTTTCTGTTTTTCAAGCAGGGAGGGATGGAGCAGGAGAGCACAGATAGAGGTGTATGTGAAGCCGATTGGCTGAGCAGCATTCATCAGTCACTAACTAGTGCTTAAAATAAAGATTTTGCAAATCGATTAATCAGTCAGTTATTTTTTCGATTAATAATGTGATTGTAAAAGGTTCCTTAACGGAGATGTTTTTTAAATAAAAAGAAATCAGGTGAAACTAAAGCTTTTCCACTTGAGTTCTGGGTAGAGCAGATTGAGAGATGAAATATTAAATGCAAAATGTTTATATATATATTTTTTTTATATATTTGATGACATAATCAATTAAAAAAATGTTTTAGTCTCTACAAAATCAACTAATGATTAATCCATTACTAAATTAGTTGACAATAATTCATTAATCGATTAATCACAATTAATAAGATTAATTGATTTAGGTCTATTGCTCACACAGACTGATTACATGAGGAGAGATTCAGATTGACTGAAGTCAATGGCTAAATGTTCCTGCGATTTGCTCCTTATATCCAGAAACAAAGACTTTTTCCATTTCAGTTAAAAGCAGCTCTTCTGTAACGGAGCTCCTGGCATCGACTCCATCAGCACCAACTGAAAGTTCTTCTTCAGTCTTATACCATTCTTCTTTTTCTTTTTGTTTTTACTTTTAAAGTGGTGTGGCTTTGGTTTAATTTGAATCCAAAATTGTGCTTGAAAGGTAATATTTTCCACTATTACACTTATTTTGTAGCTGCAGCCTGTTAATGTGCAGAGATATCAAGTTATAAAACATCTAGTTTGCTTAATTATTATTTTTGTTCCAAACTACTATCCACATCTAAATAGATATATTGCAACCAAGTGTCTTTACTCACTTGTGTCATCTAACACACTATAAAATGGTCTAAATTAGTAGACTTTTAGGTACATCTTTAGATTTCATTAAGGAATTTGTTTAGTTTTTAGTTCATATTAAACATTTTATATTTTCTCATTGAATCCCTAATAATATTTAATGTTTCAATTAGAGAAATTCATCCAAAAATTGACGTTTTAGGTAATAAAAAGTAAACACTTTGAATAACGAGTAGTTCCTTTTGTTTAAATAACGTGTCCATCGCTGTTCATGCTAATCTAAAATCAGGGAATTAAACATATTTTGGATGTGATATGAAATAAAGTTTTAATTTTTATGAAGCTCCCAGGTTAAATGATGTGTTTATGAGAACAAAAAAATAGCAATTTTGAACTGTGCCCTGCAATATTTAATGATATTCAAAGATAAACTGACCTCCATGAAGGTAATTGTCTATGAAAGCCGCCAAGTGATCTGTTTATTATGAGCGGAGTTAATCAAAGTAGGTGATACCATCAGTTTTTGAAAGATAACTTCAGGTGATTGAATCTTGATCAGTGCAGACTGAGTTTCTGCATAGACCTGCATGAGTTTTATAGTTTGATATTATGGGATCATTTTTGTGATATTCACACAGCAGTTGTACAATACAAAGGAAGAATAAAACAGACAAAAAATATTATCACATGCACATGAATAAATACTTCAAAAAATAAATAATAAGTCAATAAAGTTGAAGATAACAGACGATAAATAAATAAGGTAATTATTACAAAGGCGAATATATAAAGAAGCGAATTAAAGGCATACTATGCAACATTTTTCAGTTAATTAATGTGTTCCATAATGTTTTGGATGATTAAATTAGTCATTTCAGGTCAAAAAAAAGGTTTTCTCGGCCCGCACCCACAGGCTCAGAAGTCTCGTGCATTGCGAGAGTCGGTCTTGCTTTACGGCGAGAACTGCTACACGCCCCCAGTGAAAGGCATGCTCGTTGCTAGCGCAGTGGCGATATTTGTGCAGTTATCATGGCGGAACCAGCGAGAAAACAGCGAAAGCCCATGTCGGGTTATTTAGACACATGCATAACAAATAATGTATGAAAACATGCAAAATTTTCAAACTTGAAAATTGGAACAAAAAAGTCACTTACCGCAGTAGACATGGTGATTCGTTGCGTTCGCCTGTCTGCTAAGCTCAAAACAACCGCGCCTGGCTTGACGGAGAAACCAGAGGAGAACAGCTGAGCGTATTTACGACAGTGCACTTTTACTTTCGCCCTCTGGGGGGAGCCTCGCTGGAAAATCAACACCGGTTGCATAGTATACCTTTAAAAGAGATTCATACATTTATGTCTCATTGTATAATTTAATTTCTACCTACATTTATTTGTTTTTGTTTAATTGTATTTTTGGGGGCAATTCATTGTATGCTTATTTTTTTCTTGAGCATTTATTTATTTCTGTATTTATTTTCAAATATGGCCGAGTTGGTCCTCCATACTGTGTGTATTTTTATGTTATTACATTTGGTGATCATGCTGCCAAATTTTTCGACGTGCAAAAATATTTACATTAGACAGATATGCGATAGAAGCCCAGAGCATAATGAGCTGGCATTTATCAAGAGTCTACGGTATCAGTCTCTGAAGAACCTAAACAAAAATAAGTTTTGTGATCCGTTTCTGATTTTTTTTTTCCTCCTGATTAACACAGAAAGCAACATAAAATTTTAATATAGTCTTCTTGATCTTAAAGCCTTTTGGCACCAGGGCAGGGCTGGTGAGTGGGCGTGGATATCTGCTCATATTTTTCACACACTTTTATCTCTTGGCTGGAGTGATGGGGAAATGAAAAGGACTCTTGTTTCTACCAAAAAACAGCCAGATGAGAGACTTTTGGCATGCAGCAAAAAAATTACTCAGCACAACTACATTTTAGATGTATGTGCTACTGATTTTTTATTTATTTTTTTAATCCCTTGAATTTCTAAACTAGAAAAATTAGATCATTCGTAGATTTAAAAAACAACTTAAATACTGTATACTGCAATCAGACAGATCCTTTTGGAAATCAGAAAACTGACAGTCACTGGAATTAAAGGTTATTTCAAATAGACCCATGGACTTGCTCGGACATTTTAGAGGAACATGAACAAAACCCGTTCTTTTAGTTGATATATATCAATCTTGGAAGTTTATTTGCACCACAAAATTCATATTTTTTTTTTTTATTGTTTTGATGTTCTGATTCAGAGCTACAGCTGTCCTCATATTATCAGGGTTATCCCTCTAGTCATGCTTAGATGCACCATATATGCTGTAACTGGAATCAATTGTCAGATTGGACGTCTGCAGTGATGGTTACGTCTCTCACCTTCAGAGTCCGTCCAGCTCCCTGATTTCTGCTTGTCACGAAAACATAATTACCGCTCATCTGAATGGACTTTTTTCAGACGACAGCCTTTAAGGTCAGAGCAGCGTTTTATTTTTTTTCCCCACTCGCCGTCGCTGTGTTAATGGCTACATGCATTGACGTGATTTGCCTCAAAATCGCGGGCTGCTTCACTGTGAGGTGCTTAGTGTAATTGGAAGAGAGAAAAAAACAGACAGCTGCTGCTTTTAAAGACAGTTAGCTGCTAGACGCTGGATTCAGGTCAAAGCACAAGTTAATTTGTTGCTGAAACATGTTTGTGATGCATTTGTGTTTGGGACTACAATGACGGGAATGTTAATAAGCCCCTTAAACTTTGCTCTTGCTTTTTTGTTGTGAGTTTGTGCTTTGCATTCAGGAAAATTAATTTAGCTTCTCTTAATATTCAGCTCAGATAAATAACTTCTCTGCCCTATCAGGATTTCAACTTAAACAATACTGTTGAACAACAACACATCCACAGAGCATCTAGAGTAATTTACAATAAAAATATTAATAAAGAATAAGTAAGAAATACTTTATTTTTCACATTTTGAGGTGTCAAGAATATACAGATACTTTCTTCAGGTGCCAACGTTGACATGAATGGAGTCTGCACCAATGGGAACACTGGGTTAAGATCACCTGATTTAGAGCTCAGGTGTTTGTAGATCTCACTGATCTTTATTTATTCACTGGATTGCTGATAGACCATTGGTAGTACACGGTGCTTTGAAGTTACCAGCCGCCATATTGGTACTGCCTATTGAGACCCATTGGAATGTAAACAATACGTGCACTACAGCAGGCATTCCCAACCTTGGTCCTCAAGGCCCGCTGTCCTGCAGGTTTTAGAGGTTTGCCTCGAGGACCAAGGTTGGGGATGCCTGCTGTAGTGCACGCATTGTTTACATTCGAATGGGTCTCAATAGGCAGTACCAATATGGCGGCTGGTAACTTCAAAGCACCGTGTACTACCAATGGTCTATCACAAACAAGTTTTCACTTATGAGACAGTTTTGTTCACATCTCATGTTTAAACTGTCTGA